GGGGCAATAACACAGTGGGTAGGGCATTTGCCTTGCACACGGCTGACCCGGGTTCGATCCCCGGCATGCCATATGCTCCACCGAGCACCACCAGGAGTAATTTCTGAGTGCATGAGCCAGGAGTAATCCCTGTGCATCACCGGGTGTGACGGAAAGAAAAAAAGGAAGGAAGGAAGGAAGGAAGGAAGGAAGGAAGGAAGGAAGGAAGGAAGGGGAAAGAAAGAAAAGAAAAGAAAGAAAGAAAGAAAGAAAGAAAGGAAAGAAGAAAGAAAGAAAGAAAGAAAGAAAGAAAGAAAGAAAGAAAGGAAGGCAAGCAAGCATCATTGAGCTCTATGGATGAAGGCTGCATGCCTGTTTCCCTCTCACTCCTGGCATCTGTCTGTCCTACGGCTCCTCCTCTCAGCCACACACACATACACACATACACACACACACACATACACACGTACTCCCTCTCTTTTGCTCCCCTGAGGGAGGACAGAAGTGGGAGGTGCAGCTTTGCCCACCCACTCGCCCAGCCCCGCCCTCACCAACACTCCGTGAGAGAAAGGATCCAACGTAGTTGCTGGTTGAACTGTCCTGGGTCCCCACTGCCTTTTAGGAAAGGTGAAAACTAAAATGACCTGCCTCTAGGAGCCTGAAACTGTGTTACAGTTTCCAGCACGCAGCCGCATTGGCCTGGGGCCCGGGTGCTGTCACTGTCCCTGTAGGAGACGCCTGGGCTGATGACCCCTTTGTTGGGTTACAATTTGTTGTGACTTAGCTGAAGTTGGAAGAGCCCAGAGTGAGTGTGGTCAGTCCTCTTTTTCTCTCTCAGTCCTCTAGTCCTTTGTTAGTTAACGGTGGCATTTGGTGAAGCCCCTACTGTGTCCTGTGGTTCTCAGAGGTGACCCCACTCAGCCACAGCAGCACCGCGGAGGAATATGTCAGACATTCTCACCATCGCCCACCCATGTCCCCACACCTCTGCCCGGGTGTCCTGAATCAGGAACTCTGAGCTAGGAACTAGGGAGTCAGTGTTTGAACCAACTACCTGGATTTTTTCGGAGGTGCTGGCATTTGGGAACCGTTGGCTCCTTGTCAGAGTCTCTCTGCGGAGCTCTGGAGAGACAGGGACATGAGTAGGGCTGTGTCTGTGACAGTCAGGAACAGAATCTAACCGTGTGGCAGACGTGTAAGCAAGACTGTCCGGGACACCGGCAGGTACAGTGCTCCAGGGGACCCCAACTGAGTGCCGCCCAGGCTGCATTTGAGGATTTGGAAATAATTCCTGAAGGAGTGGTTCTTGAACTAAGTCTGGGGAAAGGGCTAGAACTTTTTGACGGAAAGAGCAGGGACAAGTATTCTCTACAGAGTGTGCGTGCACGGGGCAGTGGGCGGAGCGTGGATCCAGAGGGTGATGGGTAGAGCATGCAGGCACTTGGCGGTGGGCGGAGTGTGTGTGTGCACACGCATCGAGTGTGATGTGGGCGGAGTCCACGTGCACATGGTGGTGAATGCAGTGTGCATGCACGTGATGGTACATGGAGTGTATGTGCACGTTCTGGTGGACAGAGTGTGCAGGCACAGGGTGGTAGACGCAGTGTGTGTGTGGATGAGTGCCCGTGGCAGTGGTGTGTGCACATGGTGATGGATGGAACGTGCGTCCACGTGGTGGTAGACACTGTGTGCATGTGTGTGGCAGTGGAGGCAGTGTGCCCGTGGTGGTCGATGAAGTTTGCACGCACATGGTGGTGGACGGGGTGTGTATGCATGTGGTGGTGGAAGCAGTGAGCATGCACACGCGGTAGACATGGTGCGTGCACGTGTGCAAGTGGACACAGCACAGACCTTGGCTCCCAAGCATCACCACGGCACGGGCGCTTGTGTCTCATGCCTCGCAGAGAAGGGCAGCTGCTCTTGGAAGGCACCAGGAACTGTTTGAATACTATGCACCCAACTCCCACATTCTCCACTGTCACCGAACAACTTCCCAGTGTGTTATTAAACCACATAGTATATGGTGAGTACCCGTAGGAGCCATCCTAGAGCACAGGGCCAGGAGTCAGCCCCTAGCACCAGTAGATACAGGACAAAAAGCTAAACAATCAGTCAATTAATACCAAACAAAGCACAGAAACCTACGGGCCAGAGCTAATTGCTAACTGGCAGCCAACCCCAGTTCAGTCTCTGGCGTCATATATGGCTCCCCCAGACACGGCTAGGAGTGGTCCATGGTCACAGAGCCAGTGTAAGCCCCAAGCGCCATCAGGTGTGAACAGGGGGGAAAAATGGGGGGGGGGGGGGAGGAATAGACCAGAGAGAGAGGGCAGGAGTTCAGGCTCTTGCCTTGCTTGCAGCTGATCCAGCTCAACCCCCACTCCATATATGGTCCCTGGGACACACCACCGGGGTCACTTCCAAGCACAAAGCCTCTGCGCACCACCGGTGCGGCCCAAAAACAAAACCAAGAGCAAACAGGAGAACACACACACACACACACACACACACACACACACACACACACACACATTCACTGAGTTTTCTCCTCTAAAGAAGTATTTTCCTGGTGAAAGTTTGCCGCAGAAGTGATGGTTCAGTAGGACAATCTGGAGGCTCATATCTGGAAGGCTGGGTGGGCAGTGGGAGGGATCTCTTCTGAGCCTTCACCCGGATGTGCCGGAGCATCTTGACATGCAGGCCTGGACTCTCCCAAGCGTGGCAGGTTCCTCCCTGAGACGTGGGAAGCGCCGGTTTCCTGGCTTCCAGCCACGCTGCATCCATCCCTCATGCCTTGCCCTGCCCCCTGCTCCTCGTCTTCCCGGGCCTCCACGTCTGGATGGCAGGGTCCGGCCTCACAGCATCAAGTGCAGCCCTGAGGGGACCCCCATGTCTTCACACTGACCACAGCCACAGGCCCGCTGGTGGATTCAGAAGAAAGGAGTCTTGCTGAACGAAAACCCAGTGTGGAAGGGTTCTACTGCAGGATTCCCTCATCCCATCCCCACTGCTCCCTCCCCGTCCTGATGGGCTCTGCTCTCTCTTATTTGCACCCGTGGCTTCTAGTCTGAGAGAGTGGCAAGGGAGGGCTGCGCAAGCCCGTGTTCCCGGTCAGGAGCAGCCGGCATCACAGGCTTTTGAGAGGACAAAGGGCCCTGGGAGATCTTGGGTTTCGTGTCCCCGCCTCTGCTGAGGAACCACTGGCTTCAGGCTTCTGGGCAGAGCTTGTGCGATGCTCTGTTATGACCTGATTGGAGAAAGGGACAGATGGATGGAGAAAGGGACAGACGGAGACATTCCCTTTTCTGCCTCTGTGACGTCCAGGGCTCACGGCCTTGACTGCAGTGCCCTGTTGGGGATCATGCAAGCTTGGACGCGGTGCCCTGGAGACCTCACACTTGCTTACATGGCTTGGGGAGGAAACGGTCAGACGCCCACTCTGTGTGGGCAAGACTGGCAGCCAGTGGTCAGTGCTGGGGCGGGCAGGAAATGAACAGTTCCTCTGCCGGGCAGGGCCTAGTGTGGGATCTTGAGCCCATCTGGTTTCAGACGAGGGGAAAGGGACAGAATTTTAGAAAATAACCAGGGAAACTTGTTTTGTGTGGGTTTTAGGAATCAGTGAAAACATCCTCTCCTTTCAGCTGTGGGCTTCATTTGTTCTAAATATCTGGTTGGTTTTATTTAGCATTCTTAATCATTGCTACTTGGATTTTTTTCTCTTTTTTTTGCAAAATTGTATATACAGCAGGGAGCTGGAGAGATAGTACGAGAGTTACCACCAGGGTGCTCTCCCCCCCCCCAAAAAAAAACCCTCCCAAAATTAATAATAACTGTAAAAGATTTTTTCCATGAGGAATTTCCAAGTTTGAATACTCTTTTTTTCTTTGCTTTTTGGGTCACACCTGGCAATGCACAGGGGTTACTCCTGGCTCTGAACTCAGGAGTTACTCCTGGCAGTGCTCAGGGGACCGTATGGGTTGCTGGGAATCGAACCCGGGTTCAGCCACATGCAAGAAAAACACACTACCCGCTGTGCTATCACTTCATCCCCCTCAAGTTTGAATACTCTTAAGCAAAAGTGAACTTGAGTCTCGGTCTACAGTGGAGGAATAGAAGTGAGTTGCAAGAGCCAGGAAGATCATTGCTGAGAGTTTAGTAGCTGCAGAAGGAAATCCTGGAGGTGATGACTCTGGGACCAGCTGTTGTTGGTCCAGAGAGGTTTGGAAACAGGCTGTCTTGAAAAGCTTTAGGAAGACAACAGTTGTTGATGGCTTAGGCTCTGGTGAGTGTGGAACAGGGTATGGAGACACACACTGCCTTGTGCTGGTGGCTTTCAAATCTTCGTGAAGCTGAGACTGTGATCAACAGCAAGAAGAGAACCAAAAATGGGAACAGAGAATGTATTTAAAAAATTGAGCATGTGGTAAACCATGCCAACTTAGGAATGGTGTAGTAACATATTTAAGTCAAAAGGTAGTAGGTTTCAGGATTTACGTTTCCTAGACTCTATAAAAATCCATTTTAAAGACTATGAGGCAAATCACCTTTACTTTGAAGGAAGAAGGACCTTAGGATTTTATTTGCATCAATAATAACATCATCTTACTAATGGAAATATGAGACATATTTGTTTGTTATAGGTCTCAGCGGGTAGGTAAAATGGAAACTACACAAAGTTGTAATTATAGGTGAAATGTCAAGCAGTCGGAACATAAAGTGGCCTTAAATTCACTCAGAGGTGAATTTAATAATTAGCAATTCAACTCAGTAAGAAATACATCATTCGTTTAAATAGCTAAGGAAGTTACTGTTTTTTCCTTAATCTTTGTCTCCAAACATAAGTTACTTTGAAATTACTCAGCAGTCTGCTTTCGCTGAATTTCGAACATTGAAAGCAACTTGCTTGTTCTTCGTAGCTGCGACTCAGGGGTGCATATGAGAGAATTCACCAAGGGCATCGACTAGCTGCAGAACGGGGCAGCTGACTGGGAATTGACTCCTCTCCCGTTCTTGTCTTACAGCTGGGCTCCTCCTCCTCTGTGCCTTTCACCTCTATCTTCTCTCAGCTTTTCATGACCGTGGTGGTGCCCCTCATTATCGGACAGGTAAGGTCCCTAATTCTCGCCGCTCTTTAAGATTGGATTGCGTGTTCTTATGTAACAGCCAGGAAACTGAGAGAAGGGACAGAAGAGACAGCTGGATGAAAATCCTAAGACTAAAACAAAAGGTTTTAACAGTCCCAAAATTTTTCTTTTGTTCTTTTTCTATCAGTCTGCTTCGTATGAAGCTTTTTAGATGGCCATCTATCTAGAATCCTGATTTTTTTTTTAATTTAGTATCTTATTCACAGGTAAGTAATTAGCTCAAAGACATTTAGTAGATCATTACTTTATTCTGTATTTCAACAAGATCTTGGCATTCCCTACCATTATCAGGAGCTAGTGTGTGTCTTTGGCTGATTCTTCATAGATGCCTCCAACAGCAGCAGTTAAGCTTGTGATTGTGTCTTTAACAATTAACCTGTTAGCTTTTTTATTTTGAAGGGTAGACACACCCAGCCATGCTCAGGGGTTACTCCTGATTTTGCACTCAGGAATTACTCCTGGATGCCAGGGATCGAACCCAGGTCAGCCCCATGCAAGACAGTACCCCACCCACTGTACTATCTCTCCAGCCCCTAAACCTTTTATTTTTTTTGCTTTTTTGGGGGGGGGGGGTCACACTCAGCGATGCACAGGGGTCACTCCTGCCTGTGCACTCAGGAATTACTCCTGGCAGTGCTCAGGAGACCATTTAGGATGCTGGGAATCGAACCCAGGTTGGCTACATGCAAGGCAAACGCCCTACCCACTGTGCTGTCGCTCCAGCAACCTCCCCCCCCCAAAAAAAAACCTTTCAAAACCGTTAATTTAGTTTATTGTCTCAATCCTATTCGTTCTTAAAATCCTAGAAAATGTGGTTTCCGTTATTCTTAGTGAACGAGGAAGAGTCTTCAAGTTAATAATGAACATATAATTCCAGGCATGCAAATTTCAGAACAAGTATGGTTTATCTTAATCATGGGTAGCCACAGGAGTGAAACATGAACTTTAATGCATCACTTAGATGAGTCAGTCTCAGGAAGAAGGATATTGGGAGGGTTCGGAGCACAAAGGTTTATTCCAGATTTAGTTATATCTTTGATTTGCTGTGTGACCTTGGGCAAGTTACTTAATCTCCCTTGCCCTGGGTTCATCCTCTGTTAAATACTACCGTAGTATGGTCTTAGAGGATTGTTGTGTGGATTAAACAATGCACATAAAATACAGCGGGAAGGGCAGTGGTGCTTCTCAGGGCTTAACTTCTGCCTCTGTGTTCAGAGATCTCTCCTGGAGTGACCAGCAGGAAGGGCACAAGGGAAAGGCAGGTATTGGACCCAGGTTGGCCATGTTCCAAGCAAGCGCCCTACCCACTGTCCCATCACTCTGGGCCTACATGCTGAGTCTGCAGAAGATGCTTCTAGCCAACACGTCCCCACTTCTTTTTTCCCAAGAGAGAATCCTGAGACATCACTAGCAGAGTGTGTTCATCCAGCTCTAGTCAAGGCTTGTTTCCTTTTCTGTGTGGCAAAGAAGTCTGGAGAGAATGAAAACACTCTGGGCTCTTAATAAATGGAGAACATTTGTGGGGAAAGGAATGGACTGAACTAAAAAAAGATGGAGTTTCCGTAGGGCTAGAGAGACAGTTCAGGGGTTAGAGCATTTGCCCTCTAAGTGACAGCCAACCCTAGTTTGATCCCCAGCATCACATATGGTCTCCCAAGCACCTCAAGGAGTAATTCCTGAGCATCGCTGGATGTGACCCAAAAAAGCCAAAATTAAAAAATGCCCCAAAAATAGATCCCTAAGAACCACTAAATATGACCTCCCCTTACCCCCAAAATAACACTTCCTGGAGGTGAGTACCTCTTCAGGGTGTATCAACCCAAATTTACCCACTACTTCGTGAAACATTTTCACACTTTTCTAAAGACACATGACAAAAAGAGCTGCTGTGTGAAATTTATTGTTGATGGAGATGGGAATGGTTCATGGGGCCTGGCAGGGTTCCAAGCGGTTTGTTCTGAAAAGGAGACAAGAGTCACTCAGAGGTGCAGAACAGGGAAAGGCCATTTGTTTCCCTAACGGTTATGCATGGGGGTCGCGCTGTCCCTCTGCCCACTCCTCAGCTTCCTGGTTGTTTCCTTCAGCAAGTAGCTAGCATTAAACCCGATGTGTTCAGAAGGAACAGACCCATAGGCGGGGGAGATGGAGGACCCCCAAGCCTTGCTCCTCGGCGTGTCGAGAGTCCTGTCCAGCTCTGAGATGAGGTTCTGAGTACTCAGTAGCTAAGGAAGACGCTCTTAGATTAAGTCCTGCTGCAGCTAGTGAGGTTGATTGATCATGAAAGGTTCGCCTTGGGTTTTAAATGACTTTGACTTTGGAGTTGCACTTCATTCATTTTTACTGGTTTGTCTTAGGTGGTGGTGGGAAAGGGGGAGGACATTTCCTTTAGGGATTAGGCTCATACATACATTCAGTGACCTACTGCAGTGACACCCCCCCCATGCTTAACCATTGCTCATTAAAACAATATGGGGGACAGTGTGATCCAATAACTCCTTTTATTTCCTCAAGGACTTGCCTTTGGGCAACTATCAGGTGTGCGCTACCAAACAGCAGATTCTGAAATGATCTTTTCTTTTTATTCGGTGGGGAAGGGGGCTGGGAGGAGGTTGAGCCACACCTGGAGGTGTTTGGAGGCTGCTCTTGTGTTCAGGGATCACTCCTGGTGGTGCTCAAGGGACTACCTGTGGTGTCAGGGGTCATATTAGGGTCAGTCACATGCAAGGCAAGTGCCTGACCCCTGACCCATGTCTCTGACCCTGAGGTCTTTTGGAGTGAACCTCCTCTATAGCCTTCGAATCAGCAGCTACGCCCCATAGTGACATATCAGGACATGAGACCCTCAGTGCTCCTTGAGTTTTATTTTATTTTATTTTATTTATTTGCCTGAGGAATTTGTCCTTTTTTTTTTAATTTTTATTAGTGAGACACCATGAGGTACAGTTGTAGACTATTATACAATGATTATACAATCATCAAATACCCATCCCTCCACCAGTACCCATTTCCCACCACCACGGATCCCAGTATTCATATAGTCGAAGTGACATCTGCACTTGTTTGTTCATTGCAGCACTCTCTACAGTAGCCAGAATCTGGAAAAAACCTGAGTGCCCGAGAACAGATGACTGGTTAAAGAAAATTTGGTACATTTACACAATGGAGTACTATGTAGCTGTTAGAAAAGATGAAGTCATGAAATTTGCATACTAGTGGTACTACATGGAAAGTATCATGTTAAACAAAATGAGTCAGAAATAGAGGGACAGACAGAAAGATTGCATTCATCTGGGGAACAAAAAGTAAAAAAAATAGGAGACTAACATCCTTGAGTTTTATTATCCAAAATTATTCCTCTGTTTTGTTTCTTGTTTGGGGACCACCCCTGGAGGTGCTTAGGGGCGACTCCTAGCCTCATGCTCAGGTATCACTCAGGAGGTGTTTAGGGGACCATGCAGCACTCAAACCATGCACTCCAGCCTGAAGCTCTCTCGGACCAAATCGTGTATCCTCGTCCATCAGCAGGCAACTATTCTACTTTCTTTACATTTTGACCTGAAGGGGAGGCAGGGAATTCGGGCAAAGTCCTGCGCTTTAGAATTACTGCTTCATTCCTTCAGGTTGGGATCTTGGCCCCGGCCGCACCTGGTGATGCTCAGGAGCTACTCCTGTTTGTGTTCTGGGCCATGCTGGCAGGACCACCGGGCATCCTGCATGCAAAACCTGTGTTCCATGAGCTCACTGAACTCTCTCTCCGGCCTTAGAATCATTTAAAAAAAAAAATGCAAATTCTGGGGCTGGAGCAATAGCACAGCAGGTAGGGCGTTTGCCTTGCACACGGCCGACCCGGGTTCAATTCCCAGCATCCCATATGGTCCCCCATGCACCGCCAGGGGTAATTCCTGAGCGCAGAGCCAGGTGGGACCCAAAAAGAAAAAAAAAATAGAAATTTTAATTACCACAACAGTAACTTTAATCCCAAGATCTACTTTTAAGGCTTATTCCAAAGAGTTTGAGGCCCTCTAAGCAGTGTGTCGTCCCCCGCGGTCCCCCAAAGGAACCCCCCCAAGCGTGAAGCTTGCAGGGAAGCAGCCCCTGAGCGACTCTAGGTGTGTACCCACACCAGAACAAACCAAAGGAATGGCTGTTGACCTTTACAGAACACAACTTCCCGTCCCACCCAGCACCAGTTCCTCAGCTTACTGGTGAGACTCCCTCCCTCCAGCTCCCTGGTTTCACTGACTGAGCCCTTAAGAACGGACAGAATTGAGGCCAGCACCGGGCAACACGAAGTTCACCAGAGCATCATTTATTTTGTTCTTGAGTGTCTGCGAAGGGACGCCCCGTTGTGGATTGAGCCTTTTCTGTGGCAGAGTCGGAGATGACAGAACCCCATCAGCTTTGTGAGGAGAAGTTCCCTGACCTCATTATTGCTAATGGATCATGGTAATTCAGCCTGTTGTGAAATATCATGTCCAATTATGCAGGATAATGAGTGACTCAAAATTTAATATGTCTCAACTATCGTCCTTATTAGAAGGTTTCGTCAACATCTTTCAGAAGTGGAAAGGTTTTTAAATCGGATGGTGGTTCTCTTCTACCAAGGAAAGTTTCCACCAATATACAGACAGTCCGGGTTTTAAAAATCCGATTTGATATTTGAAAAAGAAAGAATTGCTCTGTAACTTATTATTTCACCGATTCTTTTTGTAGAAAAAGTTAGGACAGGTTTATTCATTTTTTAAGTGCTAATTCTAGAATTCTGAAAGCCTGCAAATGGCATTTGTCTTTGGATTCACAAAAACTCCAGATATTCAGGGTTTGAATTATTTAAACTCCCACAACACATGCACTTTTGCTTTTCAAGCATGAGTTATAATTTAATTAAAAACTTCTGGTGCATTGCTAGCGTTTTAAATATTAATATGTTTCATGGATCACTTTCGATTATCTACCATCTTAAAATTCTTGAAGATGTCAGATTTTTAAGATTCCCAAAGTTGCACGTGGAATTATCTGTGGAGGCCAAGGGGACTGTGATAATTACACACATCCATTAGGCTCAGCAGAGGAGATAAACTTGGGGGAGGCTTAATGGGCATGTCTCAGTGACAGGTAGCAGAGAACATTTGGCGTGATTAAGGATGGATTTGAATGCAGCGGAAAATTCACTCTCATGACGGACAGCCACTGAAGTTGCGATCCAAACGTGAAATTCCCCAGAAGAGCAGTATGCCGGGGAAGCTTGGAGGTCCTCTGTGGCCACGGCCCAAGTGGCGCTCCTTCGTGTCTTTCTGCTGTCAGAGTCACTTTGTATTGCCCCAGTCAACCCTCCGTTTTGCGGCAAAGAGGCCACCTGTTGATCTCTGTCTTTCAGATCGTCCGAAGGTACATCAAGGACTGGCTGGAGAGGAAGAAGCCGCCTTTCGGGGCCGTGAGCAGCTGCGTCCTCCTCATGATCATCTATACCACGTTCTGCGACACCTTCGCCAATCCAAACATCGACCTGGACACATTAAGCCTTATCATCATCCTCTTCATCAGTAAGTGGGCCTCCGGGCCACCTTGGCACTGGTGCTCCAGTCTCCCCCAGCCCAGCATAGCGCCTGGTATTCTCTGCATTCACTCAGAGTGTGACTGTCGGCAGGAGAGCACCTTCCTTTCATATTCCCAATCCCCAGTGACCCTGGCAGGGGTGCTTCTGTTCCTTAAAAAGACACCAGCTCTCAGTTACAGCTTCATCTGCTTTGATTTGTGTGTGTGTGTGTGTGTGTGTGTGTGTTTTAATTTTTTTTTTTTTGGCTTTTTGGGTCACACCTGGCAATCCACAGGGGTTACTCCTGGCTCTGCACTCGAGAATTACTCCTAGCGGTGCTCAGGGGACCATATGGGATGCTGGATCAGACCTGGGTCAGCCACGTGCAAGGCAAACACCCTATCCTCTGTGCCATTGCTCCAGCCCCCCTTTTTTTAATTTCTAAATTTTATATTCGAATTACAATAGTCAATGATGGTTGGAGGAAGCCATAATATCTGTCAAATTCAAAAATTCTTTGGATACTTTACCTATTGGACACATGCTCACCAATTTGTTACTATAACTTTAAGCTAATCTTACCCTTTATTATGAGTTAAAGGTAGCGCTTATAATATAGGGTGCTTTTACTTTGTAGGTCTGATAATTGGTTGCATTGGCTAAAATGGGACTATTTGCCTTATGCTTTCCATTAAAATATCTCCAAAGTGCTATTGTTTTAAGAAGAGTAAAGTGCAGATAGCTCCAAGGCTCAACAGTCATCCTTTTGAGGCTGGAGCAGTGATACAGTGGGTACAGCGCTTGCCTTGCATGCAGCCGACCCACGTTTATTCCCCAGCAACCCACATGGTCTCCTGAGCACCACCAAGCACAATTCCTGAGTGCAAAGTCAGGAGTAATCCCTGAGCGTTGGTAGGTGTGTCCCCAGAACAAACAAATATGTATTTTTAAAAATCCTTTTGTTTTATTTATCTTATCAAACCAAAGGCAACTTTTGCTCATTGTAATGAAGGAAGAATGTTATCAAATGTTAGCATGAGTTGCAATCAAAAAGATAGTATAGGGATTGGGTCAGATGACTTGTATGTAGCCATCCCTGGTTTGATCCCTGGCACCCATGTGGTCCCCCAAACATCCCTGATTGTACCTCTGGAAGCACCTCAACACACCCAGGGTGTCGGGGTTGCCCCAGGCTTCTCAGACCTGTGCATTGAATCACTGGCCCAACAATCTGAGAACATTGGAAGACCCCAACTATAGATAAATATGTATTAACCCCAAATGCAATCACATTATGCTATTTGTCATAAATACCAGTAGTGCATATCAGTTCTTTCTAAAGTGAATGAATTAAAGGAACAGAATTTTGAATGAAAGGGTTTTTAGATTTCTCTTGGGGAGCTGGATTAAGAGCTGGGGACATTGTATTGAGGAATAGGTTGAGGCCCACTCATTTGGTGACAGTTGGGCAGCGTCGGTTTACTGGGTTTTGTGCCTGCGCTGGCATCTGAGGTCCCCTATGTTTCAGACAAAATGAAATCCACGAGTAACTATGCTGCAGAGTTGAGTTCTCTGGCACTAATCGAGAATCAATCTTTTTTTTCTTCTTCTTCTTCAGTATTTTCTATTCAGCTGAGTTTCATGCTCTTAACCTTCATCTTCTCAACAAGGTAAGTGATTTGGCATCTGTTGTTGCTAGCTGCCTGCAGGAAGAAGAATGTTCTCCCCTTGGCTTCTGGGCCTCCTGTTGCAGTATCTCCCCTGTCTCTTCCCCGACTGTGCCATCTGGTTCCTGCCACCCCCAAATGGAAGCAGTGGTCAAAGGCTCTGTCCTTGGCCCCTGCCTTGACCAGTCACAGCCTCTGTCCTACTGACCGAGGCTGCAGGCTTCCTGCCGTGATGATCAAGCCTGACCCTCCCTGGCCACTGTTTTTCTGCCTGCCAGCATCTTCTCCCTTCATCCTTCTCTATCTTCGTCTTGGAGAGTCCTAATTCCAGAAACTCAGCGAGGATTCATCTTTAGTCCCAACTCTGCTTCTTTGCTGTCTTGTTTCTGGAACCACCATCCCACAGAGCTCCGTAGACTATATTTTACAAGTATCTCCATCCTCCGTCGGTCACAGTTCATGTGCCTTGCTTACACTCCTGCTGCCTCTTCTCTCCCCAGACAGTTCCATGAATGTTGAACTGATCTCGTGGTTCCTGTGAATTTTCTTCTGACAATCGTTCCTAAACTTTTCTCCCCTGTGCTTATGCATTTTGCGTGGCTTCCAATAATTGAGTGTTCTTCCGATAACTTAGATAATGGCTCTTCTGTTTGGAGAGTTCTGGGGGTTTTCAAGGGCGTACTACAGGGTGAAGTTCATCAAGAGGTGAGGGTTAAGTAAAGGCCCTCCAGTCTATTTTTCCATCTGGAAACCTTGCTCACACTCACACATTCCTAACCTTTAGGTCAAGGTGAGGCTTCAGCCTCAGCTGTTCCCTGGAGAAACATCACATTTTCTCACATTACTTTGGTTCTTCCCATCCTTATTAGATTTTACTACTTAGTCCGTCTTTCCTGCTCTTACATTCTCATCCCTAAAGCAACTTCTTCTAGCAGTACTAGATAGTCAGCAGATCCTATTTGCACATTCGGTTTGAGAGAGTTTCCCCAAAGAATGTCACCACTTTGAGGCCACTGTGAGCTGGTCCTGCAAGAGTTCATAAACTAGAGAAGTGCCCTGGTAACTGTGTCCGTGGCATTGCAGAGCCGTAGTAGACAGCACTTCCACAGACAGTGACACAGTCAGGCCTCAAGAAAGAACTGAGGTTTGACTTGAATGATAAGCATGATAAACAATGGTTAACTATTTAGTGATTGCTGAGAGAGGTCTTTTATGGGAGAAGGAACCATGCAAACGTACACACACACACACACACACACACACATTTACACACATGTGCCATGAGAATTGTGAGACCATCAGAATAGAGGAATATTGGAATACTAAAACCAGCAGTAGTAATTGGAAGGGTTTCCCTTGGGCCCATTGTCCTGAATGCCAGGTGATGCCCATTTGAATGCCTCCCGGAAAGGGACCTGGTCTGTTTCTGAGACTTGAAAGAATGTTCACCAATGTATGGTCGGGTCTCAGAGTAGGAGAACCTGAGGACCTTTCAACTGATTGTGAACAGTCTTAAAACCTATTGACTGGTGTCAGTGGAAACATCCCCCCACCTCACCCCCGCTTGTGGTTGTGATTTTGGAAGAGTGAAGCCTGAAGCCATTAGGTCAGAATAAAAAATGGGGCCTCTCTGGGATAAGCAGGAGTTATTTTCAAGTAATCTTTGCAAATGGTTGTTTAGGTTACTTGAGAAGAGCCATTCACCTGTCTCCGGAAGTGGGACTCAGGCTATATTATATGTATATGTATATATATATATATATATATAGAGAGAGAGAGAGAGAGAGAGAGAGAAGGAACCATGCAAACGTATACACACACACACACACACACACACACACACGTGCCATGAGAATTGTGAGACCATCAGAATAGAAGAATATTGGAGTATTAAAACCAGCAGTAGTAACTGGAAGGATTTCCCTTGGGCCCATTGTCCTGAATGCCAGGACAATGTTTATATATATATAAACATCCATCCCAGAGTGTAGAATGAAGCACAGCTCGGCCACTCCTGGGATTGCAGAATAGGGAGGTGAGAGGGTGAGCATAACTAGATGGATTAAAACTGAGAACATTCCACTCGGACTGGACTGGACTCGTACAAGGTCCTACATTTGGGTCCCTTCTCTTCTGCCTTCAGTCCAGCTCTGTCGTGGTTCAGATGTTCTTGCCCCATGGTGAGACATGCGCATTATTTAATCAATAACAGAAAATGGAGCAGCTGGAATGACTCCCCTGGCCAAGTGGTGGCGTGGCCCACAAATAGTTCATTAAAGCTGGGAGATTTCCAGCTGGACATAATTTATACAATAGCTTTTGCTTTAGTATCTTTCACTGTGTCAGCCAGACCCCCATGGTGCCAGAGATGTTACTGGAGGGATGAAAGATCCGAGGTTTGTTGAAGCTGCTCTACTCCGGGAACTGCACTAAGGAGTGTGCACGATTATTTTGTAAAAGTAGGACAGCAGAGACCATGGTCCCCAGAGATCTAGTTGCTGTTTTGCTCATAAAGACCCATTTAGAGGGTTTAGCTTAGTGACTTACCTCAAATCAAATCATCATCTTTTATTAATGACCCCCAAATCAGCGGCAAATAGTATCTTGACTCCACTTCCATTTGACATTTTCCAAAATGGCCCTCCTTTTTCAAGTGCACGAAAACATTTCAGTGACTTTTAAGACCTGTAACTCATGTTTAGGTTGGGGATTAATAGACATGTTCAATTGGAGTCTTGAATCCAAACACAACCAAACAATATGCCACTCATGCCAAGAGTTTGCACTGAGACCCACTAGGGTCGAACTGTGCTGAGTTTCATTTCTTTTCCTACTATTTGTTCCTTCCTGCTCAGATAGAATAAATTTTGCCTGTGGCGGGAGGTGGGAAAGAGGGAAGATACTCATATTTTTCTTAGTAATTTGGTAAGAAACGAATCCAGATACATAGAAAGACCAAAAAAAAAAGTCATTATGGAAATCAGTCTATTTTTACTGAGAATGCTCTAGGCAGAGGAAATTTCGGATAGGCCAAGGCTACAAGCCCGCCTCCCTGCAACACACCTCTAAGTGCTTTTCATTTCTAAGCTTTAGTCACCTATAACCGTGTCATTCTGGTGTCTGGCAGGAGTACCCCTTTAAAATGCATTTGAGAATTATTATACTTTTATCTCTCTGCAGAATCATGCCAGGGTTAAAAAATCCCAAATCTGGAGTCAGGCAGGCTTGAGTTTCCATCTATTTTAATACCTCAGTAATTGTTGTCATTTTCCTCGTCCAAAAGATAAAGATTGTCATACCTATTTTGTCAGGTCACTTGAGATTTATTATATATTGAAAGCCCTGGCATACAGTAAGTGCTCATTAATAAATGTTAGCCTCTGTGAAATATGTATCACATAAAAATAATTTACTGTTTCAAAAGCTAGTAATGAAAGAGAGAGTTAGCATTCCTACTCACTTTTGAGGTTTTCCTCTGTCGGTTTTTAAGACAGGGAGTGGATTCGTAAAACCAGGACTCACTCTCTGCAGTGACCTGGGATTCCTATAGGAGTCTCTCAGATTTTATATTTCCTAGTGTCGAAATTATCTTAGAAAAAAGAAAGACGGACCAGAGAGATAATACATGGCTGACCCAGGTTTGATCCTCAGCACCCTATATGGTCCCCTCAGCCCAGCCAGGAATGATTCCTGAGAGGGCAGAGCCAGGAGTAAGCTCTGAGCTCAGACAAGAGTGCCCCCCACCCCAAGAAAAGAAAAACAAACCTTTAAGGAAAAGGAAGAAAACAAATGTCAAGTGCTTGTATTGGGCCTTTTCATAGGGCCTTAGGGCTGGAGCGATAGCACAGCGGGTAGGGCGTTCGCCTTACAAGTGGCCAACATGGCCGACCCGAGTTCGATTCCTCTGCCCCTCTCGGAGAGCCCGGCAAGCTACCGAGAGTATTCGATATGCCAGACACAGTAACAACAAGGTCTCCAATGGAGACGTTACTGGGCCCGCTCGAGCAAATCGACGATCAACGGGAGGGCCTTTATCCTTCTCAGGACACCTTTAGCCAAGTGTCTCCACAGAGCCTGGGCTGGGAGTGTGACTCCGGAGGGCAGTACAGACCTGGGAGGCAACTGAGTCACAGAGCTCTGGCTAACTCGAGTGTCAGAGCTGAAGACGAATGAGGCTGTGCTCTGCACCACGCCAAGATGAAACACAGGTCCAGAGGTTAGCGTGGGGAAGCACAGGACGGGGACATTTCTTCCTCAGAAGTAGTGGGTTCAGACGGAACATTCTCCAAGGAGCATTCCTGTTCCACATTCTGTGATTCCACGACTAAAACCTTCTGACGTGTTCTCCCTCTGCGGGCACTGCCAGGGAAGGCGAAATAAATATTATGTGGAACGCATTGATTGAAAGGTTTGTAAGAGAATAAAAAAAAAGACCAGTGGGGAAGAAAAGGAAATAAACCCCTCCAGGGAAGCCCAAGTGATCAAAAGGATTATAAAAAACAACAGGATAAAAGGAAAATCAATATTAAAAAGAGTTGGAAAATAAATAGTAATGCGATTCCTTTCAAGAAGGCAAGCAGACACAATAGACATGTTAGTCGCTGAAAGTAATTACAGTCTTTCCCACTTACTCACGGCTCACAGGATGCTGGTTGCTGCCTGTCACCCCGACTTTCTGGCATTAGCCCCCCACCTCCCGCCCCCTGCTTCCCTTAGAGACCCTCTCAGTCAGTTCTGTTTAAATGGAACGCTGCCTATGACCTTACACCTTCCCTTCCGTCCTGACCTTCTCCACAGACACGGCCTTGGTGTCCCTCGCTCTCAGGCAATGTTCCAGCTCCAGTCAGGCTAGTTCCTCAGGGTAGGCCTGCCTTGATCTCACCCCCAAAAAGTGCCAGCCAGCAAGTCCTCCCATGACCTTTTCAGCACATTCCTGGGGTTTTTAGCTTGTCAGCCACACCAGTCCCATCAGCCTTCTTGGCCAGAGAGATTTGACACCTTTAGACCACACTCAGACCCAGGAAAGTGCAAGTTCCTGAGCAAAACAACGTTTACCAGAGGAGTGTGTTGTTGGACCCACTTGGAAGAAAACCAAATTGTTGATCGAGGACCATGAAGACGGGAAAGGCCTTTGTGTTGTTCCTTGTTCCCCAAGCGCCTCTGAAGGGCGGGCCCCAAACTAGGCGGCCGGTGCCTGAGTTCTGCCAGCACCTGTGGGCATTCACCCCTGACTCTTCATTCTCTCATCGTCAGCTCACTTGGTCCCCAGCCCACCTCTTTCAAGTTTTCCTCAGCTCTCAGTCCCTGGGCCTCACTGCTACCTCAGCCTCTCAGTGAGGAGCGACGCGCCTGACACTTCACAAAGGAAGGAAACTTCCCCACAGAAAGGGCCTTCACCTTCTCGTTCCCTGACTGGAATGGTCCATATTTTTCACTCGGTGTGTCTCCTCTTGCTTCAGGCCCACCGACTGTAGGCAACGCTCCCCTCCGACTCACCCTGCAAGCTGGTTCTCTTGAGCATCTCTGACGACCTGGTTTCCTCAGTAGATTCCGTTGGCTTCCTCTCCCTTCACCTCCCTCTCCCGCATCCCCAATGCAGCATCCCCAATGCCCCACAGTGTCTCCTTCTCGCCAGATTTCTTGAAATCACGGTCATCCCCCCCCCCTCACCACACGGCAGACTGGCCCCCCATGAACATCCACCCTGCCCCTCTTCTTCGCTGACGTGTCAGTGCCCTCCTCACTCGTGTTTGCTCAGTTCCTGGTTTTTCTTTCCCCCTGCCTGTTTCAAAGCAACAATAGCAATCCAGGTAATAAAAGTCACTGAGCATTTGCCATGTGTCCATTTCAGATCCAACATTGACCTTTTTCCTCACAAGGACCCTAAGAGGTAGATAGCAATTTTTTTTTTAATCTAAACAAAGGATGGTCTGGCTTTAAGTGCAGGTGTATTTAGGCCCCTGGACAGTGACACACCTTCCTCCTCCCTTCTGCCCTCCTGCTCAGCGCCCCTCATCCCACCCTCACAGGTTCCATGTCTACTGCTCACTGTTGCCCCAAGGCCTTCACGGGCTCCCCTTCATCTTTCCGAGTCCACAGCCGTGTCTTGCGCACAAGGCAGCCTGAAGCAGCCGCTCCTCACTCTCCCGGGCTGCCCAGCCCTGACCTAAAACTCACCTCTGCCCTTCCTCAGCCTGCTTGGTCGCTCTTTGCTCAAGAAGGATCACCACATGCCTACCATCTCCCCCTCCTCCCCTGCCGGTTAAGGCTCATCCTTTCCCCTATGCCAAACCTTCCCCATCTCTCTCTCCCTCTCTCTCTCCCCTCTCTCCTGTTGCTCTTCCTGTCTCTTCTTTTCTCCCTCTCTCTCTATCTCCCTTTCTGTCTCCCTCTCCTTCTCCCTCCCTCCCTCTCTTCCTGTCTCTCCCTCGACATCTCTCTTCCTTCACTCCCTCTCCCTTTCCCCTCTCCTCTCTTCCTCTTTCTCCTTCTCTTCCTCTTCCTTTCTTCGCCTTCCTGGATCTTTTCTCCTCTCGCCGTTGCACTTCCAGAACTTTACATAGCTCCTGCCACTTGAACAAGCTGGAAAAAGAGAAAAGGAATATGCTACAGCTAGTGCCAGTGTTAAAGTGTAAGATAAGAGGGGGGAGCCAGAGAGGTGGTCTTACTCTATTCAAGGGATACACATCTGCAGGGAATCCTTATCTGATGAAGGTCCTGAAAAACTGAGGTTTGAAAAGTTGTTAGCAACAAAAGGCAGCCCAATAAAGGGAACCAGAACAGAAAAAAGCTGTTCATGAAATTAGTTAAAAGAAAGTTGTGGAGGCCAGAGCGATAGTGCAGCAGGTAAGGTGCTTGCCTTGCACACAGCCAGCCAAGGTTTGGTCCCTGGCATCCTACATAGTCCTCTGAGGACTTCCAGTATTGATCCCTGAGCACAGAGCTAGGAATAAGCCCTGAGCATCACTGGCCCCAAACGAAACAGAACAGAACAAAAAAAAAAAAAAAGAAAGAGCAGGAGGTTAAACGACTGTTTAAACAAGGCCAAAGAGTAATGTAATCTTTTCTTGACATATGTGCAGGGAAGTGTCTAAAGTCCAACAGTGAGTATATGGTGTGCAGTCTGTTTAGGGGAGATTTTTTTGTCTAAGGGAAAGTTGCAACCAAGGATAATATTACTCACGAGAATCTCTTTGATTAGAGACCCTTTAAAAATTGGGTAGCTTATTCTATCTGCAGCTCCATCCAGTGTGGACAAGTACTAGGAAACACTTGCTCAATTGTTTGTTCAAGTTCAGGGCAGAGAACGAATAGACTCATTATACCTTCAAACCCCAGTTCTGCAAGAAGGGATCATTTCTAACAGAACAAGGAGACAATGGTAATAATTACATTTCTAACCTCTGTGACTTCTGGGCCTCTCAATCTTTACATTCTAAAATAGGGAGGATAAATTTATGTTCACCAGCACTGACCCCTCCCTAGGACACTGAATGAATTTTACCTAAGTGAAAAAAAAATTTTATGTTTAAGATGTCATATAGCACTAAACACAGGCCATTAAGAACCTAGGTACAGGAGGCAGACCTAAATTAAATCCTGGCCTTGTCATTGAACGGTGACAGCACTCTGGATAAGTTAGTGGCTTCTCTTTGCCTCAGTTTCCTCATCTGCAATGAGGTCTGCTGTTTCCCTGTGGGGTTGTTGTCTTCACATGCGAAGACTTCAAAGAATATCTGCTCCACAAATGATACTATGTGTGTATGCATATACATCACGGGCAGAGCCCGGCAAGCTCTCTGTGATGTATTCGATATGCCAAATACAGTAACAATAACAGGTCTCATACCCCTGACCCTGAAAGACCCTCCAATCGTTTGGAAAAGATGAGTAAGAAGAGGCTGCTAAAATCTCAGGACTGGGAGGAATAAAGATGTTACTGGCGCCCGCTTGAGTAATTCGACAATCAAGGGGATGACAGTAATACATATACATAGTTTTTTTTTTCTAGGTCATAGGATGTTAAGTCTTTGCTCATACCCCACATATATATATCATATATGCCATATATATATCATATATACCATATATATATCTCAAATATATGTCTGCTGCAAAGAATATATTGTTCCTTGAGGGAAACATCTTTTGGGATTTACATTAACTCTTTCAAGTGACAAACAGGTTAATAGCAAGGCATGACTTTGACATGGGTAAGAATAATTCTTGCTGCCTGATTTTCAGAAATTCCCGCATCTTTGCAATCTAACAGACGCCCTCACCTCTCACATTTGGAAAGTGTCGCTTTGAAATATTCGGGTCAATGTCTTTGAAATGATTCCCTAAAAAAGAAATTCCAGTAGACATAGCATTGTTTCTGTCACCAAGAGTGATCAAAGAGACATTCAGATGAAGGTAGGTACCACATTGGACTTAGGATGTTACTTAGGATTTTCTAATACAAGTATTTTATATTTAACAAAGCAAATACTTTGTTTGCCCCTAGGAATAATTCGGGTTTCACACCAGCAGACACTGTGGCTATCATTTTCTGTTCTACACACAAATCCCTCACATTGGGTAAGTGATTCACAGAATTCAAGACCAGCTTCCTATTAAGAACAGTTGATAATTCTGAAATTCATTCTTCAGATTCAGTGGAATGGGGTATTGTCCTTTTTTTTTTTTTTTCCGTAAAGACCAACAGCAAAGTTAGGAGGGGTCATTGTTTTTAAGTATCTTCATTTGATTGAATTACTTTTTGAGGACCTCAATATAATAACATAGGATTTGTCTTCATTGATAATCATGTCTTTTGATTCTCCTCAAAGTGGTTCCATGTAGAATGTTCACATTTACTAGCAAGGATTAGGAGAAGGGAGTGGATTGGGATTGATGCTTTGGGGTGCGAGGCGAGGGGGGCGGGGAGAACTGGCAAAAACTTAGCCTTAGAGGCTCTAGAATTAAGCCAAGGAAATAGTAACTGGTTTTTGGAATCTTGAAGTCGGTAAAGAGTAATATTGACACTTTTACTTGCTATAGGCATTATTTTATTTGAGTTTTTTGTTTGTTTGCTTGCTTTCTGGGTCACACCCAGAAATGCACAGGGGCTACTCCTGGCTCTGCGCTCAGGAATTACTCCTGGCGGTGCTTGGAGGACCATATGGGATACTGGGAATAGAACCTGGGTCAGCCATCACAAAATCACAAATCATCCTGTTATTCATCGATTGCCTCGAGCAGGCCCCAGTAACATCTCCTTCATCCTAGCCCTGAGATTATATTCAAGGCTCTTTAGGAGAATGAGACCCATCATTCTCAGCCATGTGCAAGGCAAACGCCCTACCAGCTGTGCTATCGCTTCAGCCCCTATTGACGTTTATTTTAAAGTTTATCTCAAGCTGGTCCATTATTTCTTTAAAGAAACACTTGACAATTTAGTTATCAGTTTAAATACTTGGTCAGTGTACAAAAAATAGTCCAAGACAAATCCTGTTGCTTTATCCATAGTGGCATTAGCCCCATATCCTATTCCGGTATCTGGAATCTATGTTTTTTAGTCATTAAAAGAAAGTAGCATTAATGAAATGACGTCATTCCCAGGGGTCCTGGGCATATGGTGGTAAGAACACCAATGGAAAACGCTTTGCACATTGGTCTTTCCCTCACAGCCGAGAATGAAGAATCCTTATGTTGTCTGTCTACTCACGTTTCCTTAATATGAGATAGTTTGCAATGTTCTTAGGGCATTTGCCTTACAAGCGGCCAACGTGGCCGACCCGAGTTCAATTCCTCCGCCCCTCTCAGAGAGCCCAGCAAGCTACCGAGAGTGTCTCGCCCGCACGGCCGAGCCTGGCAAGCTCCCCGTGACATATTCCATATGCCAAACACAGTAACAACAAGTCTCACGATGAGATGTTACTGGGCCCGCTCGAGCAAATCGATGAACAATGGGAGGACCATGACCGTGACCGCTCTTATTAAACCCTAGCATATTTGTCTGATCATTTATAGGTAAAGGTAAAGGCCCTCCCGTTGATCGTCGATTTGCTCGAGCGGGCCCAGTAACGTCTCCATTGGAGACTTTGTTGTTACTGTGTCTGGCATATCGAATACTCTCGGTAGCTTGCTGGGCTCTCCGAGAGGGGCGGAGGAATCGAACTCGGGTCGGCCATGTTGGCCGCTTGTAAGGCGAACGCCCTACCCGCTGTGCTATCGCTGATCATTTATGGTTTGGAAAATAATATTTATTTCTGGAAAAAGTCTTTAAGAAGCAGTTTTGTAGGAGAGAGGAGGCAGGGGGGAGAGGGACAGCCTGCTATCGTTGTAGTATGCCTCTTTGCTTCTCCTCCTCCTCATCAAATGGAGTTGAAGGGGTTGTGGGGATAACTCTTGGCTGCTTATGTTCTGACCCGGCACAGATCACCTCACCTTCCTGCACCTGAGCTTCCTCCCTAGTGAAGTAAGGACAGAGAACCACTTGCTTTGCCATGTGGTTGGAAAGGTGAGAACTACAGTTTGTGAAGAGCAAAGCATAGGGCTTGGGCGTGAGAGGTAATCATGTTTGATGCTTAGTACCTGACAGAAAGAGTTCGCTGATCCACTGTCCATCACTACAAGGGCCTCAGGGAGAGCTCACCTACACAGCTCGTGTGCTTTCTCACACAGGAAGTACTCTCTAAGTTGTAGCTGTTGAGGGGCCAGAGCGATAGTACAGTGGGGAGGGCATTTGCCTTGCGTGCTGCCAACCGGGGTTCAATCCCCGGCATCCCATTTGGTACCCTGAGTACCACCAGTAGTAATTCCTGAGTGCAGAACTAGGAGTAACCCCTGTGCATCTCTGAGTATGAACCAAAAAAAAAAAATTGTGACTGTTGATAGATTTTATGAACTAATAATCTAATAGGAGTAGTTATGACTGATTATAACAAGTCTGCTGGCCATATCTTGTAGCTTTTTTTGTTTGGTTGCTGTTGATTTGGGAACCATACCTAGTGATGCTCAGGGCTTCCTCCTAGCTCTGCTCTTAGGAATTAGTCCTGGCAGTGCTCAGGGGACCATATCAGGTGTCAGGGATAGAACCCAGTCAGCCACAAACAAGGCAAGCATCCTCCCTGCTGTATGTCTCTCGGGCCCATGCATTGTATAGTTTTTCATACAAGTAGGCATTAGTTTTTTTCCTCAGAGAAACACTCTTGGCACCTCTTTCCCATGTGGTTGTGGTGATGTGGTGTCCACTCGTTTCGGGTCTCCTGTAAAGTAAGGCGCTGTGGCTAGGTGGCAGAGTACATGCCTGCATGTGTGAGGCCCTGGGTTCAATCCCCAGCAATGTCAGAGAGAGAGAGAGAGAGAGAGAGAGAGAGTAGGAAGGGAGGGAAAAGGGAGGGAGAAAGGAAAGGAGGGAGGGAAGGAGGGAGGGAGGGAGGGAGGGAGGGACAAAGGAGACCAGATGTCCAGGGTCCGATACACAAGAAGCCTGTGTCTGCGAATACAGGCTGTGCTGCCCCTGGCATGTGCCCAGTGCTGCCAAAGACTGTTGAACCCATCGGCCCAGGGACGTGCTGAGTCAGGAACATCACAGGGGCTGGTTGGTTTCTTTCTCTGTGAGGTTCTGTGCTGGACCAGACCCCGGAAAGAAACCAAGAGCTCTGTGCCCAAAGCCCGCTGCGGTCCAAGATTGTTTTCTAGAAGCAGAATCCCTGCCCACACCATCTGTGTGTCCACGTTCTTCTCAGCTTTCTCAGTACTGAAAGCCCCTCTGTCCCGAACGCTTTCTGGAAGCTCTTTTCAGGCCAGCAAGGAACGCTGCACAGAAGCAACCGTCTACTGAGAAGGCCTGGATGAGGGAGGGTTCGGGGGTATTTTTATAGTGTTTGCCCTCTCGCCCTCTGAGATAGTCATAAAAGGAAGATTCTGAGTAGCCAGGCGAACCCCGTGTGGTAAAACTTGTACTTTTCCCATGACCTGTGGCGTGCAGGCAAACCCTCAGGAAGCTGTGAAGCTGGTGCTCCCTCCCTCGTCTGCCCCTGGGCTGTTCTGGGCCGCTGCTTCCTTAGCTCTGAGATCAGGGATGTCACCTTGGGCTTTGCTCCCGCACCCTCCCTCCTAAAGGCCGTGTCTGAAATATTCTCTTTGCTGCCTCTGCTCCGTCAGAGGTGGCACAGGACCTTCTTGTCTCGGGATCACACAAGCTTCTCTCTGTAGCCCAGGCAGAATGTCCCTGTCCAGCCTTAGAGATTCACCAGATCCGTTTCCTCCTCAAAACCCACCGCAAGTGTGCCCCACCCCTGGGCTGCTGACCGGTCCCCTGGGAAGGCCGGTAGCCAGCTCACAGGACTTCTCACCTGCCCAGAGACCAAGGACATCACCCCAGGCATCATCCAGAACTCATGCTCCAGAAAGCAAGAGGAAATGTCAAGGGTCACTCGGAAATCAGCCCTCTCACCAAGATGAAAAATAACCCGTTGTAATTCTCTCTCTCTCTCTCTCTCTCTCTCTCTCTCTCTCTCTCTCTCTCTCTCTCTCATTGGGAATAGATCCCTATGCCTTTTGCAGTCGTGGTCTAGTATTCCTTCTAGAGATCTCTCACACCTCACACATACGCTCCCCTCAGGTACAACACGCTAACACACAGGCCACGGTTGTCCCTTCTGCTCTGTAAGACCCAATCCTCTCCAGCCAAGTGGCGCTTGTGTCATTAGTGGACCCATGGCGGAGACGGGCTCAAGCTGCCTCCTGCACACTCCCTCTCTCCTGCCCGGCCACTCCGTTGGCGTTATTGTTCTCGCTCACCCCTGTCCCCGTCCCTCCCGTGTCCGCGCATCTACACACACGCTGGATTTGATTCATGGCTTTTATTAGTGCCTTTGCCATTGATTGATTAGTTCTCCGTATTAGTACTTTTTCTATTGATTGATTGCAGATGAAGTGACTATTTGACCTTTAATTATGAGGCTTCCTATTGAAGATGACATTGAGCTATGGCTTCACATAATCCATCTGGAAAGCCTGACGTGATGCCATTCCCTGGAGTTCATTCAGGAAGGAAGGGGGGGCGGGGGCGAGGAAGGGCAGCCCGGTCACTGGGGTGCGCCTCAAACAGCACCCCGGGCTGGTCTGCTCCGCCAGAGTTTCTGCTCCGGGTTGAAGGTAATTTGATATTCGCTCAAGACAGCATCCCTTGCTGGGGGCAGCGGGGTGACTTGAGAACCACAAGCTCTCCCAGACCATCCCCCAGTTTTAGGGTGCTGTTTGTACACATTTTACAGTGCCGAGGATAAAGGGCTGTGTCCTCGATATTAATGCCTCGCTGCACAGACACTTCATCGGGAAAGAAATTCAAATACAATTTAATCCAGGGGCCAGAGAGATAGTACCGCGGGGAGGGCACTTGACTGGCACACACCCGACCCAGGTTCAATCCCCGGAACCCCATTTGGTCTCCTGAGCCCACCAGGTGTGGCAAAACGAACAAAAAAATAATCATTATAAGACTATTTTGTTCTTCTTTTTGTTAGGTCCTGGGTATCCAAAGAACTGGGTTTCTCTAGAATTCTGCGAGATGCAGAGAACCTCTCCTG